TCAATAAACAGAAGTAATTCTCCAGCTGAAGTACAGAAGGAACTCTTAAGCTCCTACTTTACAACCTACCTTTAATGGTCATAGATCAGCCATTAAACATTTTCCATTTTGCTCTTCAAGCCTGGAGCAGCTTATAATTTCCGTGCAGCTGCAGTGCCATTAAACGGATCCATTTTAAAACAACGCTTTTTTATTTTGTATTTTAAAATTGGAGGCGAAGTCCCGTGGGCTGAAACTTGGCCAGTTTATATGAAAAACTGCAAATTAAATCTAATTATGAGCGGCCAGCAACTCCAGTCACAATAGTGACCAGGGGCAGGGTGCATGGTTCAGGGTACAGGATGCAGGAGTGGAGCCTCCCAGCTAGTCAAGCTGCGTCCAGCTTTGCTTTTTCTGTGTCCAACTGACCCGCACAAATGCGGCTATTGACGGAAACAATGCGGACAAAAGCTACACAGAACGGTACAGCGAATCAGCAGCTAGATATGGTCCAGGTGCGCCAGTTGACCACCAACTGGCCTTAATGCAACGTCATCGGAGCGCAGCGATGCCAGCAAGTGAGAATAAAAAGAGCTTACTGAATACAACAACCACATCAACAAAGAGCTGAGAGGGATCTGGTCGAGACTTATCCACTGGGAGATACCCTTTCCTCATTGAATACAACAAACATAGCGATTTCTTTTAACCAGTGCGATTCAAAGTCAAAAAATATAAACATAAGATTTAATATATTATACATTTCTCATTCAACTCATCAGATACATTTTTGACAACTTCATTATACCATTCCTCCCCATTAGTTACTGCTGAAGGGTATAAAAAAGAAATAGAGATTTAAAAAAAAGCTAAACAAGAAGCGGCTGAATCGAGAGGGATGCCTAGTAAAAAGGTTTAAACTATGGTCGAGTTATGGAATGTATACCGACGCACCGACAGAAAAGAATCCTTATTTATATACTCACACAGGAGAGAGAGCCCAGTTTCATTATTGTGATGAAGGCTGCTGGCTGAGCGTGGCAAGGGGGCGGCTCAGTTACTTACGCCTCAATGAAGCTAGAACTCATGTGCCGCAATTGTGGTAAAATATGTTTGCACAAAAGGAAATCGCCAAAGCCACGTGTCCGGGAAATGCTGAATTTGTCTGCCGGGCGCACTCGTGGGTGGGTTTCCCATATTCCTATTCCTACGCCCAATACTACAGCTGGTCAATTCCAAAGATTCCACAAATCGCAATCTACACTACTATTTAGTAAAGTATTAAGACTCTAGCATCATATCAGAAAGATTTGATTACTTGAAGAATTATATTAAAGCTATATGTTTCATAATCATGTACTCAATACTTTTATAATAACTGTTTTGAAAATACCTTAAAATTGATGTACCATGAATTATTTATATTTAAATACGACTTTGAAAATAATAATAATAAAAGTGAGTGCACAAACTAATTATGCAACTGCCGAGTGTAATTAAGTCTTTTTTTTTAATGCAAGCAACAAAATTAACTGAATATTAACATGTAATAGAAATAATTGTCTTATGATTTATTCGGCTTACTTAAAGAAAACGATCAATTCCAACTAAGGATTTCTTTTTTTTTATAAACTTTGCTGTAGCTTCCGAGAACAGAGCTCAGAGTAAATTCACATGGAAAACTATGCACTGCTTTTATTAAATTTTGATCTTCAACATGTCAGCATATTCTTTTCTAAATGCATATTTTTTCATATGTAGATAATAATTCAGTTTAATACAGCATCAATAATACAGCTGAATATAAATTAGAAAAAGTTTTACAGAACACAATTAAATCCATGTTTCGTCTGCAAATTGTCTTTCATCTCTGTGGCTAAAATATGTGCCTCTGTTCATAATTGTATTGGGTCTTAAGCTGAAATTAATAAGCTGTGAATTGGTCGAGAAATCAGCTTTCGGAATACATATAAGTGTGTGCCGATTGCAGGTCCTTTTAGGGGTATTGCAGCAATATGGCTGCCAGCGAGCGCCAAAAACTATGCTATATGCCCAACTATGGTGGCACTTCCGTTGCCGTTCATTGTCTGTTGTCGTCCTGGGCATCCTTTTGGTTTCCATCGTCATAGTCGTCGTCACCGTCGACGTCTGGACTGGACTGGACTTTTGGGAATATTATTGAAAACTTTTACCGCAAGCTATGCTGAGGCTGCAGCTATGGCGCACTAAAACCAAAAATAAACGTATTGTTCGCTAGCTGCTGCAAAAACAAGGATTAACATTTACTTTTTTATCTTTTTCATTTTTTTTCTTTTCTTTTTTGTTGTCCAAAGTTTCAGTTTTGTTGCAACTTTGGCCACAGACACCGACACCACACGGCCACAATGCCACGCCCAGCTATACGGCTTCAACCAACCGCCCACTCTTAACTGGAAGGCAGTACATAAATTTTCTCAGCATTTTTCAAGCATTTTACCACTGCAGCTGCATTTACTCTAGCGCCCAATCAGACAACAAGTCGTCCAACCAAAAACATCCATTGACAAGAAACTCGAATGCGCTGCACACACCAAAGAACTATTAAACAAAACTCGCTTCATCTATTTAGTTTTTAAAGTAACACAAAAACTTAATAACTGAAAACTTAATAAAACTTAAAAAAGCTGCAACCTACAAAGCAATTCATTTAAACATTGCGATATACTGAAAGTTTTCCTAGTACCGCATCACTTAAATAATACTCACGCATAGGTGTTTGTTACTGCTCTAAACTGTTAGTTTTATATTTTTTGTGCTTTTTATTTTGCGCAAGTTCAATCGCAGGCAATAAGTTTTCCATTATTTATTGCAAAAGTTCTCAAACGCAATAACTTAGGTGCATAGTAAGGATGGCCTCTAGTTTCTTTACTGTCCTTACAAGGTTATCGATGGACGAAAATATGGCAGCAAATATATTTAAGCTAATTGCATATTTTTCATCTGCGACCTAGCAAATGTAATAAGCCAAGGCACACAACACTCGTATGTCACCAAGTGGACTTTAGTTTCTATATGAAATTTTCAGAGCCTTGACATTTTAAATACCCTGTATTAATTTTGATTGGTGAAAAGGTTAACAAATGAAGCATATTTATTTTACTTATTATTGGAAAGTCATTAAGTCAAATAACAATATTTATTTTGGTACATAGATTTGCTTTGATACATTTTAAATTTGATTCAATCGAGATATTAAAATAAATAAATTTATCAATAAGATAATGAAAGTATTACATATTATTAGATAGTTGTTGAAATCAGTTGCAGGGTGTCTGAATAATGCGACCTCTAATTGTTGACTTTTTATAGTAGCTGAAGCGAAATGCTGAGCAACTCAATTGGTCAACGGTAGCTCTGCAATTTAGTTCGCTCAGGTTTTTGGGGCGCAAAATGAAATCCATCAATTATAGAAAATCATAGTCAACATTGTGCCAACCACTAAGCGTAGTTTGCCATATGGAAAAGCTTTGTTTGCGAGTTTGTGCCAAGTAGTTGCCAATCAATTTTTGGCATTGTTACGGTCGCTGCCTACTTACATAATCCCCCCACACCCATTCATTTAACCACTTGCACAGAAGCGAGCCGTCGTCAACGGTTTTGCGGTAAACAGGCACGTCGATTCCAATGTGTGTCCAATGAATGTGGTGCAGCCAACTATCGGCTCTGGGTGACTATTGTCCAGCCGTACTGGGTGTCATGGTTGCCCTGTCCTACTTCTATCCATTGTGACACTCTGCGCTACAAACACAATCACAATCAAAATGTTGCCACGTCCCATCTCGTGCCCCCGCCTCACTTGCAGTTGACACTTTGGTCCCTATAACTTCACAGTCCAGTAAATGACGCGTTGTCCTTCTCTTTGCCACTTGCATTGTAGTTGCACGTCGGTTAGGCAATGGCAGGAATGTCTCTCGTCAACAGTTCGAGTCGCCAGTGCCGAGCATAGCTTCATTTGAATCGCTTGACTCACTTTGTGGCAACATCACTTCCGTTGACATGTGTGCTTTTCACTCTCTCCATTTCAATCTCGCTCATTCTTCTTCTATTTATCTACCTGAATACCACCAGGCTCTACTATGCGCCTTTTTGTTTATGGCATACATTCTCGCTCTTCTGACTGCTGCAGAAAGTCGAAACCTGATTAATAGCACAAAAGGCGTACAAGCAAGCTTCTAATTAAACAGCTTAAAGAAAAACAAAATTTAGGAAAACGAATTAAATATGTATGGGGTATATTCGCTGTCATTTCAAATTGTGTAGCTCTAAATTTGACAAAATCCCCGACAAAACGAATTAAATATTTTTAGAAAGTTGATAGGAAGTTGGTAGATAAACTCAAACAATTTCTAAAAATACTTTTTACCATCAAGACAAAATTATTACAAGTTCAAGTTAAAGATGGACGATTATATTGCGGGAAAAACACAATTTTGACAACCTACAATCTCGCAACATCAGTGGTCGCAATGATGCAAACCCAGCAACACACTGCTTTGTGACCAGTCCCGAAATAGTCACAGCGCTATCCATTGTGGGTTGCCTAGACTTTAATCCTCTGAAAGATGAGCTGACAGACGACAAGGGCAAAAAGTTAAAGCTAAAAGCACCAACAGGTGAGGAGTTGCCTGCTAAGGGATTCGATCCCGGCGAGCATACCTACTCCGCTCCTCCGAAACATGGTGCCAAAGTGAAAGTGTGTAAATCACAAGTCGAAACGCCTGCAAATCCTAAAGCCATTCGAGAAGTGGGATGGAAAATACCACACTGATCTCACTGTTATTATAAAGGTCAAGGGCAAATGCACCACCGACCACATCTCAGCCGCCGGGCCCTGGCTCAAATACCGCGGCCACTTGGACAACATCTCCAACAACATGTTTATCGGAGCCATCAATGCCGAGAACAACGAGATGAATAAGATCAACTGATGGGATTTTAAATTAACTATAATTATCAAACACAATTAAATTATTATTTGAAGTGTTAATTGAGCGCAAATATATTAAAATATATATAATCATTCATAAATTTCTTATAACGATTTGTCCTCCGTGTTCATTGGGAGGATTAAATTGAGTTTCAGATTCCCCGAAGCAATTATTTTAGTTTTTCCTTCATTCGGTTGAGAGCGCTTCCGGCTTTGAACCACTCAATCTGCTCTGTATTGAAGGAGTGATTAAGTTTGATTTTGTCAGAGCTGCCACCATTTTTGATTTCACAATCGATGGGATTTCCGGGAGCCATGTCTTTGAGATTGAGTAGGGATATCTTGCTGGTGGGTTGGATTTTGTCATAATCGCTGGCATTGGCAAAGGTCAGAGCAAGGAGGCCCTGCTTCTTGAGATTGGTCTCGTGTATTCTAGCAAAGGATTTTACAATAATGGCAACCCCTCCCAAGTGACGAGGCTCGAGGGCGGCATGTTCGCGGGAGGAACCCTCGCCATAGTTGTCCTCGCCAACTGCAACCCACTTGACCTTGTTGGCTTTGTAGTCGCGGGCCACATCGGGAACTGCTGCCCACTCGCTGTTGCGCTGATTCTTGATCTTATTCATCTCGTTGTTCTCGGCATTGGTGGCCCCGATAAACATGTTGTTGGAGATGTTGTCCAAGTGGCCACGGTACTTGAGCCATGGCCCGGCGGCTGAGATGTGGTCGGTGGTGCATTTGCCCTTGACCTTGATAAGAACAGTGAGATCAGTGAGGTCTTTGCCGTCCCACTTCTCGAATGGCTTTAGGATTTGCAGGCGTTTCGACTTGGGATCTACGGACACTTTCACTTTGGCACCATCTTTCGGTGGAGCGGAGTAGGTATGCTCGCCGGGATCGAATCCCTTAGCAGGCAACTCCTCACCTGTTGGTGCTTTTAGCTTAAACTTTTTGCCCTTGTCGTCTGTCAGCTCATCTTTCAGAGGATTAAAGTCTAGGCAACCCACAATGGATAGCGCTGTGACTATTTCGGGACTGGTCACGAAGCAGTGTGTGGCTGGGTTTGCATCGTTGCGGCCTGTGAAATTGCGATTGTAGGAGGTCACAATGGTGTTTTTCTCACCCTTTTTAACGTCCTTGCGGTCCCACTGGCCGATACAGGGCCCACAGGCATTGGCCAGCACCGTTGCGCCAAACTTAGTGAAAGTATCAATCATTCCGTCACGCTCTATAGTGGCGCGTATCTGCTCCGAACCGGGAGTCACATTAAATGGTATCTTCGCCTTGAGCCCGTGGCTGAGAGCGTCTTTAACAATGCTGATACAGCGACCCATATCCTCGTACGAGGAATTAGTACAGGAGCCAATGAGTCCTACTTTAATTTCCATGGGGTACCCGTTCTTCTTGGAGTTCTCGGCTAATTTGTCGATGGGGTGTGCCAGATCGGGTGTATAGGGGCCATTTACCAGGGGCTGCAACTTGTCTAGGTCGATCTCGATGACCCTGTCGTACTTGCAATCCTTGTCGGGTGTAAGCAGCTTGTTCTGGTACTTCTGTGCCTCCGCCGCAATCTCTGCTCGTCCGGTGACACACAGATAGCTGATCATGCGCTCGTTGAAGGGGAAGAGCGAGGTGGTTGCCCCGATCTCGGCGCCCATGTTGCAAATAGTGGCCTGGCCCGTGCAAGAGATGGACTCTACACCTGGGCCATGGTATTCAATGATGGCGCCCGTACCACCTTTGACGGTGAGAATCTCGGCAACCTTTAAGATGACATCCTTGGCTGACGTCCAGCCGCTGATCTTGCCAGTTAGATGGACTCCAATCACTTGGGGGCACTTCAGCTCCCAGGGCATGTTGGCCATCACATCGACAGCATCGGCCCCGCCCACACCAATGCAAAGGCCGCCTAGGCCGCCCCCATTGGGCGTATGCGAGTCTGTGCCGATCATTAGGAGGCCTGGAAATGCGTAGTTCTCTAGAATGATCTGATGTATGATGCCGCTGCCTGGTTTCCAAAAGCCCAGGCCATACTTGGCACTGGTGATGGCCAAAAAGTCGAATACCTCCTTGTTCAACTTCTTGGCACGTTCCAGATCCTGCTCGCCACACACCTGTGCCTCGATCAAATGGTCGCAGTGCACCGTCGACGGAACGGCCACCTTGTTCAAGCCCGAGGAGATGAACTGTAGAAGTGCCATCTGAGCGGTTGCGTCCTGCATGGCCACTCGATCTGGATTTAGCAAAAGGTATGATTCTCCGCGCTTTATTTCCTGTCCCGCAGGATCTTGGAGATGCGAATAGAGCACCTTTTCGGATAAAGTGAGTGGTCGGTTCAAGCGACTGGCTACACAATCAAGTTTCTCACTCAGCTGCTCATAGGGCAAAGTATGACCAGCTTCGAAATTGGACATGGCCACACCGGAGGCCTTGTGTCTCATCAGCGGATTAACGGCTATTTTGCGCAGTTTAACTGCTGTCTGTGATAATCTTTTCAGCATAATCGTGTCTTTTGCAGTATAATCGTGTTTCTCGTACTAAAACTTGCAGCAATTTTGTGAATGAATGATCTTTGAATGCAATGAATTTAAAACTTATGTGTACAAGTTAACTTAAATCAGCTGTATCTGAAATATAATGATATGACAACATCTGCTATGGAACTTGTTTTCAAAATGTAATTTTCAAATTGTGTGAATATAAATTTTACTTCCAAAGCTTTTGATTTGATACCGTGAACCCATTGAACATTTTCATTAGTTAGAAACAGTAGCATTTTATTGATGTCAAATTGTCAAATTTTTTAAGATCGGATAAGGAACATCCAAGTTACTGTCGCAAACATTTTCTGTTTATGTAAATATGCGCTTGCATGTGTAAAAAATTTTTGCAAATCAGTTCAGGTCGGCCTTTAGAAAAATAAGATGCGCTGCCCTAATTTTTTTTTGTACTCTTTAGTGCATGTGCCCACCATAAGAAATGAGTGCACTTACACGACTGCTCACATTTGAACTTTTTGAAGGAATATTTTAAAATAAAAGTATAACATATTTAACAGCTGGGTTCGTAGTCAAGCTCACTCAATTAGAGAATTTTTACTGGCTTATTTAAGCAATTTTTCCAATTGGTTTTCACGCAAATTCAAAACACTTTGCACTCAAGTAAATGTGTTTTTATTGAGAGTCATAAAAACAAAATGCAATAAAGCGACACTCGAACAGATATTTAAGCAATTCATAGACGTTGATGTTAATTTTCTGATTCAGTACAAACGGTTTTACATTACGTGAAATGATTTGCGACTAATTAAATTCCACATAACATGCCAGCTGGCTGGAATACAGAAAGATGCTAATGATGAAATTTCTCCAGGTTGAGCTGGCCAAGGAGCCAACTAACTAATTCGCATAAAACACGGCCCGTTCCCGAAAACTCCATTTCCATTTTCGTATGCAAATGAACAATAAGCCAAAACAATTACTCTGCCATGTATGAGAATGAGTGAGTGAGGCGGTTCGAAAAAGAGATGGAAAGTCTGGAACATATTTGCACTTGCAACACTTTGTATGAGTTGGTATAGAAAATTATTTGCTACTTTTAATTAGTGCCAAAAAGTCAGCCGGAGAGCTCACAAAAAAGCCGTCGCCAGTAGCGACCAATGCCAAAACAGAAGTTCAACGAGCAAATGCAAAATATCTACATCTATATGTGTATGTCTGTATCACCACAGTTACTACTACTGATGCTTTTTGTGGCCAAATTTGCACAAAGTCAAACGCCCAATTTTCTACAGTAAACTGTCAGCCATGTGCTTTGGCAATATGCTCTGACTGTCCTAAATCATTGCAATTTGTGCTGCCAAAACCGAAAATGCTCAATTATTATCGTATAATGAGGGGATGTGGGCTACGTGAAGACAACATCAACCTTGTGGCATCCAGTAGAGATGAGCGCGATTTCATACCATCGATATTCACAACATTAAACAATTTAATATAGATATGAAAAATATAAGAAATATATTTAGAGTTTATCTGCACTTTCAATTGTTTTCAGCAATTGTGTAATGAATAGTTCAATAGTTAAAAATAGTTAAGTTGCATTGAACAATTAATTTCGCCTTTCGAAAAATTAATTATAGTGCACTAAAAACGATGACAACAATAAATATTGTAATAATATTTCCTTGATAGCCTATGTTCAGTATAGTAAAATCGATATACTGAACATATTAAATGATATATTGAAAATATTGTTTTATATCTGTCACGCTTACATCTCTCGTAAACGGTTTGTTGTGGTGCTTGTTGGAATATATTGTATTTCAAAATATAGATCTTAATTTTTTTGAAATTGTGTCAACCTTATCCGAGCCATATATGTTCATAAGCACACAGATTTCCTGGTTGCCTTTGTAGTCTTCTATGTAGCAAGTATCACACATGCATTTCAATTTAAGTTAACAATATTTACGAATTTATTTCCCAACTGCAGACAGTCGAAACTTTTATCGGTTTTGTCCCTCAAATGTAAATTTGTCATTTCCATAGATTGCACTTAAGTGAAATTCTACTTAATGCATTTATATCTGTGTGTGTGTGTGTGTGTGTGTGTGTGTGTGTGTGAGTGTGCCAGTTTGGATGTTTGTGAGTAGCAATCGCAAAAAAAAGTATTATCTCTTGTCGTGTGATATGCATTCCCGACGTAGAAACCAAAAGATACAAGTTTTGATTATTGAGTATATTGAAGTATTATTAATATATTTCAAAAGAGCTTATTTTACATGTTAACTTCTTAATTGGGGTTGGGTTGTATAGAATGTGAAAGTCCGTTGCGAGAATGCTGTTATGTAAGTGCCATGACATCGTGTATCAACAATAAAATCGATAAGCTGACGAGCAAAGCAAATTACACACTTGGCTTCAGCGATAAGCGTAAATCACGCAAATGACAAGTGCCAATAACATCAGACGAAAATAAAATGAAATCCAAACCCAAGAATAAAAAACAAAAAGCGTGCAAGAGGAAAAAAATCCGAACGCTCAACACTTGTCCAATACACATAAATTGCATTTTGGCCGCCGGAGAGGTAAACAGCGGCAAATGCCACAAAATGACAGAGGAAACAGGAAAAGCAAAGAACAAGGGGGAACATAAACCAAAAATCAACAATAATCGGAAAATTATTTTCATTGATTTTTGTTTTTACGAGGAGGTGCGGGGTAAATTAAAGAAACAAATAAAATGGGCAAATACAAGCGGAAAACCCATTACTCACACACACTCACACACACACACACACACACACACACACACAGAGAAAGTGTAGAAGGTAGGAGGGTTGATGGCGAAATGAAAGAACGTTGGGAACAGCTCGAATTAAGTTAAGCTCTTTTATTTATTATTAAAAAAGTTTCAAGATTGCCAGAGTGCAAAATTGTGTGCACCAAAAAAGCTATATATGGGTAGGAGGAATCAGCAAAATCTGCGCATAATGCAAAGAAAATCCCAAATTTATCGTATCACTTAGATGGAGTGTCATGTGGGGGGAATGCCACACTAGCGCCATACCCTTCAACCCGAAGGGGTTAAAATGCGCATTATGAACACAGAGTGTGTGTGTGTGTGTGTGTGTGTGTGTGTGTGTTTGTATATGCGTGTGTATTTTCCATGTGCTTCTGCATTCATAATATAACTGTTGATTATTGCGCCAACACGTACTCAGTGTAAGTGAAGCAGCAACTTCAGTGCCCGTCGCACAGCGCGTATGCGCAATATTATTAGATATTGAAAGCAGCCATCGATGGCAATGTCGACTACATCGTGTGCCAAAAGCAATTGAGAGCAGCAACAGGAGCAGCAATACCAACATATGAATTTTCAGAGTCACTGCTTCAACACACACCATCAAGATATGGGTATACATTTATTTATCTTTACAATGCTCGACTGACAGATATCCCTTTGGCTAAATCTTATCCGTAGCTCTATTGCGATCACTCACTGTAATTTTATGGAACTGATTCACTATTTGAAGAATACAAGAATTAATAATTTAATACACAAGTCAGAAATCTCTATTCTCCAATCGGCAGGAGGATAGACATGTGATTAGTTTGGCTAAATTATCTATTTATTTCCATATAATTATGTGGTATTACAATAGACTTATTAATAACTGCATTAGTCAGAGATTATTTATTTTTTCCACAACTGTCCAGGGTATGAAGAGCATATTACGGCTGGGCGTGGCGTACCAGGAGTGCTGGATCCTGGCCCTAAGTGGGCGCATCTCCAGACTTGATGCAGAAATCGGCATATGTAGCGGCTGCTGTCAATGTGGTGCTGTATTAAATCGATGGCAATGTGATAAATTGTGGCATATTATTTATTACTGTAATGACTTTAAATTGCAATTGCAAGCAACGCTGGTCGAATTTTGGTTGGATGCGTATTTAAGTATTTTGATTTAAATGCAAAGGTGAAAGTGAATTGTAGAGTTTTCGGGATAAGCACACAAGCAGTGGAAAACTTTCATTTTTTTTCTTATATAAGTTTGTTTTAAACATATAACATTTAAGAAACATTTTATATTTTGGTGGAACACATTTGGTTTGCCTCTCCTTGTTTTTATCGTGTGATATTCCTCTGTTTATCATAGCTGCATTCCCTTCTGTTACGCTCTTCTATCAAATATCTTGCCACTGGCTTCTGCATCTTTCGCCACCATTCTCTTTTTGCCTGGACAATTTCAAAATCAAATCTCACAAGCTCACAACTGGCAACAACCAAAATGATGAAAAAGAAAACAAAAATCCTATTAAAAAAGAAATCGAAGAAAATTCAACGAAATTGCTAACGTCAAGCGAAAATCTAATAAAAGAATAGCTCAAAATCGGTGTGTAAAAATGAAATAAACGCTGCAACTGCAGTGGCAACTGGGTTTTTCTTCTGAAAAGTTTGTGGTTCCTTTTTTTTTATCATTTTGGCTGGTGCCAAGTTTTGTGCGTTTTTAAATGGCAGAGCTGTTGGCGCAAAAACCATTGGCAACACATGTCCAGCAAACAGTGGACGACTTTGCTGGCAGGATAAACATTGAGTAGCAGTAGAATGGAGAAAGGGGAATGGAGTTGAAAGGACAGAAAGTAGAAATACAAATGTTTGTTCGCGTTGGATTCGCTCTTTTGGCCATTACATTAAGTTTGCTATCTCGCTGTCTATTTCTGTGTGAGTTTGTGCTGTTTCCCCCATTCCTTTCAAGGTTTTTTTTTTGTTGTTTTTCACACACCACATTTATACATATCAGCATTAAGTGGTTGCTGCTGCTCGCATCCGTATCTGTATCTCTAACTTTTCTTGCGTTTGTGTTTGTGCTTCTGTTTGTGTTTGTAATCCGGCAGCTTGTAGAGCAACGGCTGCTTCTAATGGCCAGCGATTCGTAATATTTTTAATATTTGCTCAATAAAATGTCTGACAATTTTGGTCATTGCCACGTAAACTCATTACATTTATTATTTTGTTCGACCATTAGCCTTGCCCACATTATCCGATTCGGTCCAAGCGGAATAACTAATTTCTC